CATTATGAAAATTTCTATTGCAATGATTTGGTCTAGTTATGGCCCAGGGATCAAACTGTCTCTTGAGTATGGTGGTGCGAGCTTTGACACCTTGTAGCACCTCCCTGAAGGTCAGATGGAGAGGAGAAGATCACATGTGTGGTCATTGGGGGTGCAAGCTTGGAGCAAATTAAGCTCCTCCCAGGTCAGATAGAGAAGATGGCATGGGTGGTCATCTCTTTAGGATTTTGTTACTCCTGCAAAGGCATCTAAAGATGTCTTCCAGAGTGAGCAGTCTAGAGCTGATGATTCTGATATTTTAAGACAAGTTGTGTTGGATAAGTTCTTTATTCTATCATCATCTCATTAATAAAATAATCCACACTGAGAATGCAAGAAGTTCTTTTCAACCCAGGTTTACTTTCAAGGTGGCAGCATTGAAAAACAGGCTTACAGAGATGGTACACGAAGCTCTGTTCCAAGGTCTGCCTGCGTACAAAGTGTTAGGAAAAGCTTAAATACCCATTATCAGACATGGGTGAGGTCAATACAACCTCGGCTTCACAACTCACAGTTTTTGCAGGCATCAGAAGTTATCAGTTATCAGGCTCCAATATGAGTAGAAAAAAAGACTCTTGATCTTACACACATGGTTCTATCTATATTAATTTAGCATTAGTAAGTGATAACATCTGTGACTTTTACATAAATCCCTGCAACAAGTTGGAGATTTTTTTATCTGCCTCTGTGCAGTGTGCAACATTGTAACGAACTTGGCTGATTTGTCTTGAAACAGTTTTCAAAAACAGCCAATGTGAGGTCTATAATAGCTTCAGTTTCTTAGAAAACAGCAGCTGCTCTTGTGTACACAAACAGCTAAAATGAAACGGATGTTACGTTTCACCTGAAACCAATTCATTTCAATTTAGTTTATTTACGTAACACCAAGTCACAACAGAAGTCATCTCAAAGCACTGAACAGAAACATTCATATACATAAAAGTAAGTTAATAACATAAAACAATGTGGTCTAAACTGGGCCTTAGAAAGGATTTTACTTTGACAATTGGGCAGAAATGTTAATGTTTGTTTCCAAACATTTTCTGCATGAACATTTTTTTAATTAAAACACGGAAACAAGCAGAGATTGTTTGTGTTGCTCATTAGGAATTTGAACATCTGATAATTCTTTCAAACAGATAATTAAGATTAAAATAAAATCTTGAAATTGTTAAATAAAAAATGTTGGATCTTTATTTTGTGAAATATGGTAAATATGGTAAGTGTCTTCTTGTTTATTGCTATGTATGTATGTATTACCCCAGAAAAACCCTGGTGTCTTTTTTCTTTTCCACCACTCTGTTTTTACCATCTAAACATCATTAAAGAGGACACATCTTCACATGATCTGTGATTTAAAGTGTTGTTTTTGTTCAACGGTGTTCACATCATGAACGACTGCACAAATATTCATTTATTATTTTTGTGTGACTGAATCCTCCCCTCATGAGGGAAGGTGGGTGCACGGTCCATCCTCCGTCTCAAAGGCCCATTATTTTGTCGAGAAGTCTGTGGGTGACGTTTTCGACGTCTCCCATAATAGACTGTGGTCCAGTCTGTATCATGGTGCAAATCCCCCATAAAATAGGAGTCAGGAGATTGAAGTTTTTACTAAAAATTCACTATAAAAATTCTTATTTTAAAAAAACCATAAAATCCTTTTTCAAAAAAAGTTTTTCTAAAAAAATATGTGTTTTTTTAGGAGTTTTTCATTTTAAAGAACAAAAAATAAAACATAAAAAGTGTGCCGTCGCGACGTTTCGGCTCTCTGAGCCTTCCTCAGGCAAAGGCACACAAATGTAAAACAAAAGGCAGATAGATGTTGCTCCACTGACGTCTCATGGAGCACTGATTTATGTTCTGCCATGCCTCCTATTTATACCTAGTAGACCCCGCCCACAGACATGCCCCTTGGTCCTACTGTGGCTTTTCATTGGTTGTTTCAACTTGCACAATATGTAGGTTATCAGTCTTTAGGGTTTGTCAATTTTACTGCAAAATGTAAGGCTTTAAGGAGAAGAAAAATAAATCTTGTGGATGGTTAAGGTCTGAGGTTAAATTCAGGCCATGTC